CAAGTGGGGCCGTGCTGTTCGCAGCAGTGGTCAATGGTGAATACAGCAAGCAAGTTACTGATCCCCTTCCCAGTCAAGGATGCATGCGACAGACCAAACGCCTGCAGTAGCCCGTTCTCGGCGCTTATCCTCGCAGCCATATTCTCAAGCCCTAGCTAGCTGCCTCTCGTGTCTGCCCTGCTCTGGCGTGCGCAAATTGCGTGAATCCACGAATGGACAGGAAGGAACTGCTGTAGCGTCCTCGAGCCCGAGCCACAAGTCCACTCTAGAGCTTGTTGCCTGCTTGCTGGCCGCGAATCATTCCCGTATAGACCATCGGATCGAGACGTGCTAAGCCAGTGCAGGTCGAAAGCACTTAGGTGCGCTCGTGGCCTTGACTTATCGGACAAGTCGGTTGAGTCAACTCTGCGTTGCTTTCCCCCATCCCGCATGGGTACAGCAGGCCCGGCCGCGACAGACGCAAGGGGCTGGACGCCCTACCGATTGGCACTTCGGCGTTTCCAGAAGCCCAGAAAAGAGAGAGTCACGGCGAAGTGTGACGTGCACGCCGCGCAATCAGCTGCCAAGCAGTCAAATGACGCAGCGTGCAAACAGGGCCAAAGTAGCGAGGCACGATCAATTTGCAAGCAGCAGCCCCGACGCAATCCTTCTCCTCCTCACGCTGAGTCACGCGGAGGCGCACGGCCAGGCTCTGCTCTGTGCGCTGTATGCGATATGCCATTATTGGACCTCGAAACGCGAAGACTATGCGCTTCACGAAGCGTCCACTCTAAGTAATAACCATCTCAACACGCTGCAGCCCTTGCCATCAAGCGATTGCAGAGCTCCGTCCACTCGGCGAGTCAGACGAATGTTGGCGATCACCGTCCCGACCTCCGTCCTCGTCCGTCCGCACGACCAACTACAAGTGGCTCGTCATCTCGCTGGGCTTGTAGTCTCCCGAGCTGATCTGGTGCACTGCTGTGAAAAGCGGGTAGCCTTGTTGCCTGCCTCGCGCTTCCAAGAATGTGTAGACTTCCCTCGCCGTTTCCACCCCTTGCAACCTCTGGCCATTCAGGAGCTCCTTCTCCAGCACAGGGAATGACTGAAAGGCAGGAATTTGGCGGCAGAACGCCTTGTGAGTTCTCTGCAAATCGACAGGCGGCCGACATGAAGTACGGCACTCACCTTGCCAGTCTTGACGAATGCTTCCGCGCACTTGCGGTTACGCCCTCCGAAGCCTGATAGAGTGCCACGGAGGGTCAGCGCTGCGTTGCGTATTGGCTCGCGAAGCAACTCACAAGTGGTGATCAAGTCTGCGATGCCCGCACTTGTTTCTGTGAATGTCTCCGCTTTAACACCCTCAAAGAACTCTTCGCAGAAGGACTTCATCTCCATCAACCCGATTCTCATCACAGCAGCTGTTTTCACAAACAAGTCGTCGGGTCGTGAGATGTGCGCTCGTCCGAGTTATGCATGGACCGAACCTGATTGCTCACCCTTTGCATTGTCTCCCCAGCCAAGACCATCTGTGAAGCCTGCAGCGATGGCAACGACGTTCTTGAGTGCTCCGCAAAGACTGACACCAGCGACATCCTCCACCAATCCAACGCGGAAAAAGGGGGTATCGAAGACCTTGAACCACAGCTCCGCTTTCTCATGCTCTCCCGGCCTGTACCCGATGGTGGTCTCGCTGAACTTGTCTTGTGCGACTGGGTAGAAGCGTAGAAGAGGGCTCCCGGGCCTGAGTTTGGACGCGCGATCACACTCTGCAGGGCTCTTCCGCTCACCTTCATTGGCAATGTTAGCTCCGCTCAGTGCGCTGCATTTGCAACCGAGGAGCTTTTCGATGACATCTGCGAAAATGTTGATGTTGCCATCCTTGACCTCTACCCCTTTGATCATGGACAAGGCTTGAGTAGAGGGCTTGATCTTGCCTTTGAGCTCTGAGCAGATGGACGCAATAAACTGCGAAATGGCAAGGTGCATGCGCAATTGTGAGCAAAAGGCAGGGAGTTTTGACACACTTGCCCTTCGAGCCTTCCTAGACAGCCATGTGTAGGAGTTTGGACCGGACTGCTACCATTCCGATCGCCGAAGTCCTCCAGCGCGCTTTTGCTAGCTCCCTTCAGCACGATGCCCTGCTGCCGCTGCTTGCGAAAGCCAGCAAGAGCCCACGCCTCGTCCTCTCTCCTCCGTACTCCCCTCCAGAATCCCCAAGTATATTTCTCAAGTCTTGCAGGCCACAACTGACCTGATGCGGCGTGACAAAGATGAGCAAGTCGGCGTCCTGTGCAGCAGCAGTCGCGCTGGGCACAGCCACGACGTTTTCGGGAATGGAAATGCCAGGCAAGTATTTGACATTTTCGTGTTTTGTGTTGATGATTTCAGTCAGCTTTTGGCCATTGATCTGCAAAAGTCGCAGCAGGACAGGGGAGCGACAGAAAGTGGTGCTCAGTCTTCGATCCTCTGAGCCAGCTAGACGCCGCAAGAAAAGCCAAA